GGGGGGGGGGGGATAGGAGCAGAAGGGTTCACTGTCACAGCCAAGGGCAAATGTTCTGGATCCTGACCTCCAGGGTTTGTAGTCTGTTTCCACCACTTCCTACCTTGGAATTCCCACATTTGACAAGCTTCTCTGCTTGTTTCCTTGTGTGTTAATACATGAGCAGGGTCTGGAGTGTGTGTCATAGGTGCTTTGTAAACATTTTCTCTTATTAGGGAAGGTGGACACTGACCAGAGAGCACCTTGGGGAAGGTGGACACTGTGGGCTGAGGGGTTACATGGGGTTGTGACAGTGGCTAGGCAAATGCCAAATGTCACAGGAGACCATGTTTTCAGCTGGGCCCACTAGGGCACAAAAAGGACACCTAGAGAGCAGCCTCTGGGTAGCCACGGCAGGTCCTGGAGGCTTTGATCTGTGATCCTAGAGCCAGAGTGGCCTCTGCAGTCCTCCCTTGGCTTAGGGAAAGGAGAGGTGAGGAGCTTGGGTTGCAGCAAGAGAGATTTAGGTTAGATAGTGAGACTACTTTCTTGATGGTCAGGGTTTCCAATCAAGTGAAAAGGCTGTAGGTGATAGATTCTGGACTTGAAGGCTGGAGGCCTCAATGGAGGAGAGTGGCAGAAAGGGTGACAGTGAGGCCTGAGGGATGTTCTGCTTTAGGGCCTCCAGAGACCACTACTTGGCAGGGAGGAAGGGCCTGTTACTGGCACACCTCCCGGGGGGCCTGGGTGGGGCACACCCAGCCTCGAGTCAAGCCCAGTATTGGGGGCATGTGCCACTTAGGAGAGAGAGAGGCCTGTGTGGGTTTGAGGAGGCCCCGAGAGGGAGGCCACAGCTCCCCCTGGGAGGCCGGGCAGGGCGGCCCTAACGCGCCTGGGACCCCCACCCCGCAGGCCTGACAGAAGACGAGGACGTGCGCGCCATGCTGCGGGGCTCCCGGCTCTGCAAGATCCGCTCGCGGACGTGGCAGAAGGAGCGGCTGTACCGCCTGCAGGAGGACGGCCTGAGCGTGTGGTTCCAGCGGCGCATCCCGCGCGCGCCCTCGCAGCACATCTGTGAGTCGGGGCGCGGGGCGGGGACAGCC